AAACCATTTCAGGTGACTACCTCTTGAAGCTCATGGAGAGAATGCCAAGAGTGTGCAAAGCAGTAATCAGAGCAAAGGGTGGCTATTTTGAAGAAACTAGAATATAAAACATGTTTTCAGTTATTTCACCTTTTTTTGTTAAGTACATAACTCCACATGTGTTCATTCATAGTTTTGATGCCTTCAGTGAGAATCTACAATGTAAATAGTCATGAAAATAAAGAAAACGCATTGAATGAGAAGGTGTGTCCAAACTTTTGGCCTGTACTGTACATCCGTGACATTTATCCAGCAGGAATCAAACAGTAGTTTGTCACTGACATAATCACGTGTTGGAGGCTCACCATTGCCGACAAATCTCAGCCGAGCCCAGTATGTCCATGTTTGGAGGCATATGGAGGCGTCTTGCCAAGAGGAGCCATGCTGACTCACTGCCCAGTCAGGCGTGAGGCACGCGGGGTAGAGAAAGACCACTATCCACCGTTTTTTCCGCGGCCAATCATTTTTCAGATGCTCTCTAAAGTCGGGACAAAGAGAAGTGTTCCCTCAGCAGCTGAAACCCTCCTCTATATATCCATGGAGCGTGGGACAGTTGTATCAATGAGGGAATTACAGACTCCAAACGCCTTGCAAGAATTTTGGCAAACAACTTATAATCATTATTTAATAAACTTATAGGACGAAAACTGCTCATTTGTGAATGGTCCTTTCCTGGTTTAGGCAGTAATGAAATTAAAGCTTGGGACATACTATGTGGCATAGAGTTGTTATCTATCATATCATCAAATAACAATTTAAGAAGGGGGGCTAAATCTTGTTGAGCACATGTAAAATTCACTAGTGTAGCCATCGTTGCCTGGTGACTTCCCTGTTGGGAGTGATTTTAAGGCAGAAATAATCTCATATTCACTAACTGGTGACTCCAGACTATCTCTCTCTTCCTCTTTTAGACTTGGTAGGGAAATGTCCTTGAAAAAGATGTCCATGTCCTTCTCTTCAATAGAGCCCTCTGACTGGTAAAGTTTAATATAGTATTCTCTAAAGGCTTTATTGATTTGAGTTTGCTCAAAAATAGCTGATCCTGAATCATCACAAATAAAAGGTATTGATTGTTGGTTTTCCAGTTGTTTTAATCTTAGTGCCAGCATTTTTCCTGCTTTATCACCTGATTCAAAATGTTTTCTACAGTGTCTGAATAATGCAAAAGATGTCTCCTCATGAATAAGTGATTGCAGTTCTGTTTTGGCAATCAGCATTGCATTTTTAAGTCTTACATTATTGGGGTCCAGCATATGCTGGGATTCCAATGTTTTGTGCTCCAAAATTAGTCTATTTTTCTTTAATACCCTTTCCTTCTTTCTCATCGTGGCATAACTAATTATCCAACCCCTGCAAGTTACTTTAAATGCCTCCCACACTGTCTTTATTGATGACACAGAGTTCAAATTTAAGTTTATGAACTCACTTATTTTTCCCCTTAATGTGGATACAAACATCTCTTCATTCAGCAAGGAATTATTAAATCTCCATAGTTTACATTTATGATCATTTACAGACAAGACAAACAAGACTGACAGCGGGGCATGATCGGATATAATGATATTGTGTATTTTACTGTCGATAACATTTTCTGCCATAGCTTGTGATAACAGCAAATAATCAATCCTAGAATAGGAGTTATGAGCGTTGGAATAAAACGTGTATTCGCGGGCAGATGGGTTTACTATACGCCAGATGTCAGACACTGCCAGAGAGGTTTGAAACTCTTTCAGTCCTGCTGATAGTGAGGCATCTGAAGGCAGAGGGCGGCCTGATCTGTCCACCAAGGGGTCATTAACAAGATTAAGATCTGCTCCCATTAATATTGGATCTGATGAAAATTGAGACAAAACCAAGTTCAGCTTGGATAAAAATTCAGCTTGACCTATATTCGGGCGTAAGCATTGACTAATGTGCATTTTACATTTTGTAAATAACCTGAGATGATAACAAATCTACCTTCCTTATCGGTGACTATTTGGGAGAGTTTGAATGACACCCTCTTTGATATTAGAATGCAAACACCCCTAGAGGCTCCAGAACCTGGTGCCGAGTAGATCTGGCCATCCCATCTCTGTCTCAGTTTAACACACTCAGCATCCTTCAAATGAGTCTCCTGCAACATTGCTACATCACATTCTAGGGATTTCAGATGTGTAATCATCTTATATCTCTTTGTTTTATTAGAAATCCCCTTAACATTCCAACTTATCAACCTTAAAGTAGACATAACTTCTTGCTAACAAAGTTTACACACATTAGGGGTTTGTATGTCCATATGTGTGTGTGTGTGTGTGTGTGTGTGTGTGTGTGTGAGCGAGCGCATGAGCGCATGTGTACGTGTGTGTGTATGTGTGAGCGGATATATACATGCGCGTAATGCGCTGAATGTATGAAAAAAAAGGCACTGCAACCATGATAGCGGGTAGGAAGGGGGGGAAAAAAAGACCATCACAATGGGTGGTTATCCCACAAATAACACAGGGACAAAATGTCTGTCCCTCGTCCATGAACCAAAGATGTGCGTATCAGTCTAGTGTTCCAGACCTTTCTTACACTTTAAATGTCATGTTTAACCCATAATAATAACAACCCACGGTAGCCTGGATAAATAAAGATGCAACAGAGTTCACTTATTTAAACAACATCCCGTAAACAAAAAGAGTGTCATTATGTTGCTTGATGGTTAGTTCACTAACCTGTCTTGGTCCCGTTTCTTAGCCAAAGGCCGATGGGACCCGTTTACGCAGATCTTGACGCGCTTCCTCGGGGGTTTTGTAGATTAATTTCTCCCCTTGCAGCGTTACCAGCAGTCTGGAAGGATAAAGCATCCCGAAGCGAATATTTGCACCCCTGAGGGCTTTTTTCACATCTGTGTAAGCGGCGCGTTGCTGTTGTATCTCCAAGGTCTTGAAATACGTGGAAAGGTTTCCCGTGTCACTTCAAAGCTTTTTTCGCCTTCGCTGCTGTCAGGATGCGCTGTCTATCAATCCACTTGAGCATGCGGACAATGTACGGCCTCGCTGGATCATCAGGTCCCGGTCTCGGGCGTAGTGCTCTGTGTTGCCATTCCACCTCTGGCACCTTTCCGGATTCCGGGTTCAGATAACTGAGGATTTTAAATTAATAGATGTATGTCAATCACTTAATCCATCAGGATTTGAATTTACCAGATTCGACTCCAAAACAAAAAACGCATATCGACAGAATTTATGTCTCATCGAATTTTAAAGTTAATCATTACTCAACTATCCTTAATAACTTCTCTGACCACCTCCTTGTTAGAACATCTGTGTTTTCTGAACCCTCAGTAAACAGAGGTTTCTGGAAACTAAACACACCGTTTTTAAAACATAATCATATTGTAGAAGAATTGAAAAGTGAAATACATAAAATAACTCAATTAAATATCATAACCAAATCTAATATTAAACTATGGGAAATATTAAAACATAGATTAAAAGACTTCTTCAAATTTAAATGTAGGGAATTAAATCAACTTAAAAATGTAAAATATGATTCATTAGTTAAACAATACGCTACATACACTTAAAATAGAAAAAACAAAGAAACTCAATAGAAGATGACACTTTATCTGTCTTAAAAACTGATATTGATAAGTTAAATAATGAATTGTTGTATAATATATGTAAAGATACTGAAATAGAAAATAGAAGGAATTTAATATATGCACTCAATTCAGGACAAAAACAAACTCAAAGTAAATTTAT